GTGTTTATCGCAATAAATTGGAACCACATGGACAACTTGTTATAAATTTTAATAAGAACGTAATTCTTCATAAAAAGTTCTGCATGGGCTAAAACCTTAAACGGAATTATCAAATGCTAGTTTTTTGCGAGAAATGTTTCAAGGAAAGATATATTTTTTAAGTGCAAATGTACGTAATTGCAAATTTAAACGTGTCTTTTAGTTTTGACCACCTTTTTTTAATAAACCTCGGATAATCCTGGACAAAGTAAATATTTCAAACTTGCAATTGCCTAAAGAATAGCTCTTTTACTAAAATTAATAATAGATAGTCCTTAATGTATATCCTTTCTATTATTAATTTGCTGCAAATTTTGGCCATTTAATATACTACAACTTTTAATCCAACAATACAAGTTTTATGCGACATATTGTGCACGTGTGCAATAAGTCCACGATCTGCCATAGTTAATTAATGGTAGTTCGAACGATTTCCCTATTATTTCTCAGATTAATTCCGCCAGCTGTTGGCAGCATTGTATTCCTCTATGGCCATCTGCAACTAAGGCAGTTAAAAAATCTGCGCCGCAGGAACGTATGGAATGTAGAGCAAATAACATCAGATAAAGACTTAGGTTTCTTGATTCCTCTATAGTCCACAGAAGAATAAAAGAACGTTATTGATTAAAAATGGAAGATAGCCGCTGTAGCATATGCATGCGAAAATATCGGTTGTGTAACAGAACACTTACAGGAATGGAAAGATAGTAACCGAAATCGTGGCTCTTAAGTTGGTTTTAATTGCTGCGTTTGTTCGGAACCCAAATGCAGCGTGTTGTTAACATAAACTTTTTGTTTTAAATTGCTTCAGTTCAATTGATGATTTTAGTCAGATTTACACAGTTTATCACCTGGAATCCTTAGATATAAACACCATCTAACTCAACCCTCACAATTGGAATAGGTCCCTAATATTCCCTTAAATCTAATATACAATGTTATCAGTGTCAAAATCCAGGTCTGTGATAATTCTGTTTCATGCCTCAAAGCGTCCAGTTAATAGGACAAAGAATAGCATTAAATTTTAAAGAATAAAAAGCAGTTCTATGCATTTTGTATCTAACACCGTTTACCATTAGCCGGGATTTGTATGGCATTTGTAAGGACTTGATCCCAATCTGTTATTGTGGTTTCAGCTTATCTTTCCGGTTTCTGGCTTCAAAAGATTTTTACACTCTTGACCATTGAATTACGGTTTTTACATTTTAGAATAAGCGTGAAAACGGCTTGAAATTTTCTATACCTGCCCGATTGACTGAACAAGTTCGGCTTTATTGTCGGCTGTTATACATTAAACTATGAAAAGCTAATATGAATGAAAGCGGCAAATTGTGGTTATCTGGCTACCACCCAAACTAATTCCAAGTTATTCGGAACAAACTAAAACTGTTGGGTCTACTTTATTTCTAATACTGATAATACTAACTAACCACATTCAACTTTTGATGTAATGCACATCTCAATCTTCCTGATGGTGTGCTTTAGTTCAATAATTATCTTAGATTTTGATGTTTTCCATGCCACTGGCAACAACGTTTTCGTTTCGCTGTCCCCTAGCTATCTCATTATTCGATCTTAACTACCTTCCCACATTTGAACATGTGTGTTATACACGTTACTTATTTGTAGTTTGATCTGATCGGCCAACTAAGAGCACCTAATAATGCATCCTACCGTTTTTACGTCTACCACGGCGCTTCACGACATTTCCATTTTCAATTTCTATAATTTAGGGGCTCTACTCTCAACACCTACTAGTTGGTTCAAGATTTGTGTTCGAGGATATTCTAATTGACCCAGTTATTGCAACATGACAACGCTAGTGACATAAACATTTTGAAAAATGTGGACTATAAATTGTAATTTGTAGATATTTAAATCTCTTGTTACGAAAGATGTTTTATTATCGGGAATTGGATACGACGGCTTTGCCTATTGCAACTAATTATTTCTGTTTTTAGTTTCACTATTAAAGGGCTATTTAGCAAACATCAACTTTAATGCTTGTTCTTCATTAATTTATCGGGAAAAACTTGTGGTATGCAGAGTTACAATTAGAAATGGCCTTTTTTTTAATAGTTGCTTCCGTAAAACTTCTAATATTATTGTTCAATATTGCCGTAATTTCTTCGGAGGTGTTACTTGCAATATTTACGGAGTACAGACAAAATGCCAAAAAATTCCAGATTTTTAACATAAAGCATGTGAGATCGGACTAAATCGGAAACTTATCTGCATCTGCCAATGTAGTTTTCCTCAGTAACATTAATTTCTTAAATTAAGAATTTTTGGGTTTCTTGTCGCAGTTGGACATTAGATGGATTTTTTTATTGTTAAAAAAGTCGTTCTTCAATCTATTACCACGGCTTTCGATAGTTTGAAATCATAAAAAATCTGCCCAAAATATTTCAATTAATTTCCGTGCCTCATGTGTGCTTCACCTCAAATCAACACAACATTGGGGTTCCTGCTCTTTTTTAGGCCTTCTGAGATAAATTCACTTTAGCTTTATGACATGAATAAATTTGCTGGTAAAACATAAACAACACACTGTAGGTTCCACGCGTTTCTCATAGAGAAGACTATTTAGAGTCTCCACAGGGATGGAAATTATGCCATTTCGAAACTGTTTCTTTTTTCACCATTTAGTTCTTCTTTGACTCTAATATACCATAATATTTGGCTTGTGTATTTACTACTAATACAACTAGTTACAATTTTCATAATAAAGGGTGTTTTTTTAGAGGTATAGAACTTTAAACTGAAGTAAAACTCACTAAAATCATGCTAACGTGGTACTGACGAATTTGGAGCGCCGGAAATCCAAAATCCCAAAGCCATTTCCAAACGCCGTTATAGTCAGAAAAACTCACTGTTTGATGTGATTTATTATGGTCTAGTGGAATCGAAATGGTCTAAAATAGGACTTCGTTCATGGATTGCTCTGGAATCATATTTCAGCTATCTTCTCCTTCTTGCTTCTTTAATAGAGTTCTTCAGTCCACATACGGAAATACGCCTCTTCCAATTCTGACCTCCACCTTATTCGGTTTGCGGCTTCCGGAATCCAATGTAGTCCTACTGTTAGTTTGATGTCGTCGTACCACCGCATTGGCCGTCCTCTATGTCTCTTGTAGGTATATGAGCCAGGTTAAAATTAGTTTATGTTATTTATCAGCACTATCTCTTGCCCCATGTCCAGCACAGGACTACTTTAACTTCGCCGCCCTTTCTTCTACATTTACTATTTCGGTTGTTTGTCTAATCCATTTATTTGTGTTTTGGTCATTTAGAGTTATTCCAAGCATTGCTCGCTCCATTGCATGTTGTGTTACTCTGAGCTCATGAATTGGAAGACATTGTCCAATTCTCCGCTCCGTAGCACATTATCGGCAGAATGCACATTTAATATACTTTTCTTTTGTTCTTTAACGTTATTTTTCTGTTTTTGAGTATAGAATTCAGTTTGCCAAACGCCTCTCCACTGTTTGATTTTCTTTCCCAAGCACAATCTTTTGACCCATATTTATGTATTCCTCCACTCTCTCCAATTTCTGGTCTTTCACCTGGATTATGACTTCCCCCATAAGCATTACTTTCGTTTTACTGATGTTCTTCTTCAGTCCAATCTTTAGGAATTCTTCATTTAGTTCATTTATCATGTTATCCAGTTCTATAGCATCCTGTGTCATTATGATTATGTCATCTGCATAACGCAGATGGCTCAAGTATTGACCATTCATATTAATGCCGCATTCCAACAAATCTAATTTTCTAAACACGTCCTCCAGAGCCAATGTGAACAGTTTGGGCGATAGAGTATCGCCCTGTCTAACTCCTCCTTTCAGTAGGACCTGATTGGTTTTCCTATTTAAGTCATATGTTGCTGTTGCTTCGCTGGTAGTCTTTTGTATAACTTGTGAGTATCTACTATTGATTTTGCACATTCGCAGTGCTCTCTGAACGGTCTAATGTTCAACCGTATCGAAAGCCTTTTCATAGTCCATAAAGGTCAGATTCATAGGAAAGTGGTATTATTTTCAGGTGGTGAGCAAGCGATCAGCAGTTGCGTAAACCTTTTTAAAACCTGCCTGTTCCGTTGGCTGATACTCGTCCAATTTTTGCATTAGACATATAAAATTGTCTTTTTAATAAAGCCACTACCATGACCCTAACATGAATTTTAGGAGTTTTATTTCAATTTAAATTCTATACCTCTAAAAAACACCCTTTAGATGCTCAGCAATCATATTAATAATTTGTTTAGCAAAAGCATGTTTAGCTTGGCGCGTTAAGTACTTAAGAATCATTTTTAAGAATATGTACCGGGTGTTCAAGAGAAGATCAAGCGCATAAAAATAATATTACGATTAAATCGATCATGGGCTTCATGATCAAGTTTTTAAACGCAATTTTTAAGCTGCTAATTTTTTAACTAACGATGCGATAATGTGATGTTTGAAGAGAAGCGCTAGTTTTAGCAGTAGTTTACTGAAATATATTTGTTTTGCAACCAAAATAGTAACTCAAATTTTACTTTTTAAACAATAAATTCGGGCCGGACTATCTTATTCCAATAATTACAATTTTATACGAAAGGAATCTTAATTTACAAAATAAAAAAATTTGTCTCTAAATATATCATATCTGGTAGGGTATATTATAGTCACGTAAATGTTGGTTTTACAACATTGATAAACATATTATTGGTCTTTTAATCTATGTTACGAAATGCTTTTTCTTTGCTATAAATTTATGAAGTTTTGAGAAAATTTTAACCATATAAATCGGAAGTATAAGGTGTACATTTTAACCAAAGAACCGATCATCATAAACTTCATGGAGATTGAAAGAGAAGAACAGAAGTTCCCAACTTTTCTCTTGCAACATGCTGTAAAACGGATTTTTTTTAATACCTGCAAACTCGCATGGTGTCTATACTTCAAAATTCACTATTTTTTGTTACATTGTTTATGTCATACAATATGATATTTATTTGAAGTATTGTTGTATGTTTTTGTTAGTTTTTTTTAACTGCTTTCCTTTAGCCCAATCATTTTGAAGAATCGTTTCAAGATTTGTGCTTTTTGTTGAGGAGCTTTTTTGGCGGTTCAGTATGTCGGCGACTGTTTTAACAGCAAACGAGCAACCTCCAAAGAAGATCGATATTGATTTTTCTAGTGCAAGACGAACAAGTTTTCTACCAGATGTCTTATTAAATGAATCTGATAGTATTCAGGGTCCATCCAGTTTGAAGGGTGTTAAAGTAAGTACACTCAAAGCGTCCAATTCATTTATCTTGCTAAATTGAACATAGTAGAAACCATAATTATTTAAATAGTATATCTTAATGCATTTATTGTTGGCTTTCAAACAATTTTTTTTTGAAAAACAAAAATACTCAATGTTGGTGCTTAATATTCACATTCTGTGTGGTTAGAGTTATCGAGTACGTGCTGTTTCAGTATTTTTTAGCAGATCTTAACTAGTTGATTCGAAGTGTTAACCTGCTTGTGTCTTACTATTGCGGCATATTTAAGTGGGTAGGTTAAGTCAAATTTCGGCTAGTAAGATTACTTAACAGCTTTCTTCTGAAAAATAAAAATTTTTTTAGAGATAATTATATATTTTCTTCTCGTCAAGCAGTCAGGTTGTTTTAGAGGGGGATTCAGACCAATGCAAAAAATAATTCTCCCAAATTTTTCAAAATACCAACAACACATCTAGCCTAAAACCGACAAAATTGCAATATTATTAATTAATTGAAAAACAATAATTCCATTTCGTTCATTGGATATACGCTAAAACGATTAATCTATAAAATCAATAATTAAAAGCTGAAACAAAACAAATCCAATTCATCATTTTTTTGGTTCGTTTACCGCTTAATCCAAAAGTAAGTGATATTTTGAAACGATTACAATAGTCTGTCTAATTTATATGCTCCTATGTACAGTTATGTACAGATACTGAGTCTAAATCTCTACAATTTGCAAGTTGTGTGTGTTTGATCCAAATTGTAAAAGTTAATTATCGAAAAAAACTCCTGCAAGTGATACTTTCACCGAAAGACGGAAGCATTCAAGTCAAGACAGCAATTTCTTCCGCCAACGTTATGGGTGAATGAGATGAAGATTTTCTTTGGAGGCTCTGTGTGCTTAAGAGTAAACCTAGTTAACCGACAAAATTGTGAACTGTCGCATACCATGGGATCTGACAAATAAAACCAAAGTTAAAAAATGGACAAAAGGTGATAATGAGTACATTTTTGATGTATATATTTTTGAAGATGATAAATTGACTGCTAATGTCACAAAAGATCCAGTAAAGAGGCGAATTTCTTCTTTAATTCATGTCTACGTTGGGCACAAGAAACAAATACATTACTGCATGAAGTAATTTTTCTTGGTAATTCTAAATAAGTTCTGGAAGAAGAAGTCAAATAGAACGCAATAAAGTGTAGAGCTTATAAAACTTTTAAAAAATCTTAATAATTTTTTGTTATTTTGTTATTACGTTTATATGTATTGCTTTGCAAATTGTAATATCTACGTATGTGAAAGGTTCCTATTTCCTGATATTAAACTGTTGTAATCGTTTCACTTTAAGGAGTGTATAAGTATTTGTTCATGTAGATTGTTGTAAGTATTTGTAAACATTAAGTATATTCTTCAATAGTACAAATTAACTTATGAACAACAGATTTTAGAATGCCACGAAGATGATGAAGTCTTCTCTTCCATGTACGTTAAACAAGCAGAATTCGAACATAGAGCATTAAAACGATTTTGCACCGGCAGCAAATACTTGGGCCAATGGAGTAAACTGGGAATAGCGGGAAAAGGTTTCGTTGACAAATTGATTGATTACAATCAAAATATTAATTGAAACTTGTTACACTTAGGAATATACAAATATCCGCATGGAGTAATTTACGACGGTTATTTTAATCGAAATGGCGAATTTCATGGCACCGGAATTCTGGTTTACCCGAATGGCCAAAAAATCGAGGGGATATGGAGAAACGGAAAGTTGGGCGATAATTCCAACTTTGTGACCAAAGGTAGATACCGAAATATCTCATTTAATAGATAAAATTCAACTGGTGTGTGTCGTAATTGAAATATGGACCTTACGTAATTTATATTTTTCACTACTTCGGTTGTTATTCACTTTATCACCTTTGCAGATATTCGAATATGCGGATATCATTAATCTTCTTATAAACGATTCTAGTAATTATTTGTGTTATTCTTGGTAAATTGTCTTAACCATTCGATCCCCATTAATTATAATTTGATTTAACAATAGCCGGAATAGTAATGAATAAAAACTACTGCATGCTGCCAGACCGAAGGTTCCAAATCGAGTTCGAAAACGATTTTAACCCACCTGGTGAAGAATACCTCACAAATCAGATGCCACCACCCCGAAATATTCCACATGATTGCTACGATTTGGTGGAAGGTTTTTACGATCCTCGAGTAAAGACGGTGTATGCACATTCGAAAGATGGTGCATCCAACATGCATGTTATCGACAGTAAGCAATCAATGTTCAGCGGACGGAAATCAGCCAATTGTCTTCGGAAGGAAAGTAAATATCCAGATACAGCTGTAGAAGATGTAAGTTTTTCAATGTAATTTTTTACATTTATATTGAAAGTAAGGTCTGCGAGAGGTATTATAATTATAAATTCATTTAAGTGTTTAGATTGCCACGAGATCTTAATCTGGCTAAATCTGGCCAGTGTCTTCTCGGTTTTTACTACATCATTATTGTGCACATATTTAAATTTATATGCGTAAAGGTGAATTTTAATCACTTCGCTTTATCTTTTCAAAGCTCATCAAAAGCATAAATGACCTTTGTAAGCCCGAGGCATGTTCTAGCATTTTTGGCAGTTTTTACCTTTTTCGGTACAATGATTGTTCAATTGCTTCTTCAGGAATATGGAAATACTAACAGCAACCCTTTACTTAATGAAATGTTAGCTGAGGGAAAGTTTGGGGATACTCGAGAGATATCTTGGATACCAACTGCACTACAAGAAAATTGGATAACTCATAATTGTCGAAAAGCATGGGATGAAGCAACGGGTTACAGACCAGATCTGTATGAAGAATGGACGAAAGGTTCTTCGGATTTGCAGGAGGAAACTGGAGCAACTTCTGATGAAAAACACAAAAGCATTTTATGCAAACTAGCGCTCACAGAGAAAAAGACCGACCCTAATAAAGCAGACGAACCGCAGTAAGACACTGAAAATTTTGCATTTGCAAAATATTCGATATATCAATGGCGTATTTTCAGATTCTACAGTTTCATTCAAACCAAAAAAGATGACCAAGAAATGAAAACACTGAATACATTGAGAAAAATGTTCTTGGGTAAGCCAATAGATCTAGCAGATGTAGAGACCAGAGATCGTGTTTTGTCGTTAATAAGTGAATCTTATGATTTACCCACTGAAAAGGCATAGGTAATCGATGGTTAAGTGTAACTTCAATAGTAACTAACTAAATTGTATAGATGCTAAATAAATCACAAAGTAAAAAAATAGTTTTAATTGCCCTAGATAATTAGCTCTCAGGCCTCAACTAGTATTAGAAGCAGATCCGTAATCAGTATTAGAAAAGTGTAATTGAAAATATTTTTTTACATTATAAAATAAAAATTTGAAATGTGCGCTGATCTAATACAGAAAGTGTTGGTTAACAACGAGACATTCTGTAACTAGCATAAAAAATCGCTTCTATTATTTATCAATGTAAAAAAAGTAATACACCGTTTTCAAGTAGAAGCTTGGTATTTGCGTTAATGAGAATTGATATATTTTTCGCAAATAACCGAATTTTAACTACTTTACTTCATCAATACCCTTGTTCAATCCCTCCAGAGCAGAGGCACTCATTTTGAAATCACCACGTATATATGTATGTTTCAATCTGCAATTATTCCTTGCATTTGGCGTGAATTAGGTCATCGAACTTAGTTGATCTAAGTATCTTAAAACCTTTCGCGTTGAGCATAAAACTTAATTTTGTCACATTACAACTGCCGAATAGTAAAAGTGGGCTTGAATATTTAATACTTCGAGAATGTTTCAAGATTAATCTTTTGATGGGTTTAAATTCAAATAGGAGGAACGCAAGCGAACCATGAGATAATCGGTCATATTTCCATGCAGAAAAAGTAGCATATCTAAAGGGTTGCAAATTTTAGGGTGAAACGGAATACATTCTCTATTTTTCCTTCTTCGAATAAAAGCTGGTCAGCAGATGGAGCTAGCCCTAGTTGACCACCCTAGGAGATTAACACTGATTTGCATACCAGGTGGCTCGATTCAAAACAGTATATATTTTGCATCAAATCTAAGCGATATTGTTTATGTGAAACATGTCGAAATAACTTTTTTTTATATTTGGAAACATCAATCGGGTCTTGGGATTGAAACTGAACTAAACTGTTTTATTTACACTGTTTGCCCCTCAAGCTTTTCCTTACTTTTAGGGTGAACCTGAGCACAGATAATTAATATGGAGTGAAAGGGGCGCCTTTTTTCAAATTAGTCAAAAGTATTGTAGTTGATTTTTTAGGAAAACTCGCAAATATTTTTCCTGTTTGGTCTTTGTGCTAACTAATTTATACCGATTGGCAGTACAGTAAACTAGAGATCGACAAACGACACTTCGAGTCCTTAAATTAATTAACTTCTTGTAAAACAAATATGACGTTTTAGTGACCATTAGCATTTTGAAAGACTTTTTTTTAAAATCTAGTTTAGATATTATTTAAGTTTATTCGTATCTGCTGTCCGTGTTATTTAAAATAAATACAGGGTGATTCAAAATTGGCGCCATTCCTCTGGAGGTGTTGTCTGGGGCTGTCTTGGGAGTTCAGAAAAATAGTAAATAAAATTAAATGTTATTAAAAGCTCAGATATTGCAAAAAACTAGATCAGAAGGATGGCAACAATGTTTTTTAAGATAATCTGCCTAATTAACATTACGTAAACACCTGTTCCTTCGTAATTATTAAAAACTCCGGTAGCCATGGATAAACATTAAACAAAGAAAATAAAAGAGACAATAACATGCGTTGATGTTAGGATAACGGTGTCACCTTACGGTCAGTGCTGCGACAAATGAGTGATATACCTAGATAGGTCACAACTGTCATCCAAAACCACCTGTTAAAGGTTATGTATCATTGATCAATGCTATTGATAAAATAAAATACAATTCTGTTGTTAAAACACAAATGTTTCCAAGAGCAAGAAGTCCTGCCCGTTTCACTCCAAAGATCTTTGTGTCACAATCACTTTGAGTCTGGGCTCATATTTTGAGTAGCTTCTCGTGTCCGCTTAATTAACTGTTGCTCAATTTGAACCGGTGTTCGGAAGATCGGAGATTTAATGTGTTCTAGTGTCCTGTGCATATTACATACATGGTAGGAATGTAGGCCCTTCCCCGGGAGAGTTATCGGGACAATTAAGTATCCGGTGTTTGAGAAAGTGCAGTTGTTGTGCAATGCTTCAAGTACTTGATTTTGATTGTCCACTATCTGCGTCCATTGCGGGCCACTCGTCTAGTGTGTAGCTCTTTGCTGGTGTAAGTTCTTACAGCTTCTGCTATGTTACTGTGGCATTTTTCCATAACTCTTGCTTGCTCTTGCTAATTCGCTGTTGGTTTACATATTGTAAAAGGAGCTTCAAAATAATCCACTGTTTGACAAATGCTTGTTATTATTGACAAATGCTGTCTACCTGTAACTATTTGTTAATGACAAAAAACATAATTGCCACTTTGACTTTTCATCAAAAACTTGTAGAAGAGTACTTTTTAATATCAAAAATTTTCGTAATTTGACAAAAATATCGTAATTTTTCTTTTCGAATGCTTAAGTCTTCGAATAGGCCACCAATCAAACGTGGGACCTTTCCAAAATAATGCGTAATAACAAAGTTGAAATTCAATCTTCAACTATTAATATCTTCTTGAAAATTTCGAAAAAAAAATTATCAATATTTTTCTCGTACTCTCTAAGTGGGCCCCTATATACCCTTTAAAAGAATGACGCCAATTTTGAATCACCTAGTATAAATAAAAAATTATGCGGATTATGGGGCTTATGACAAACATGCGTTTGGGGCTTTTCTTAAGAGTTCTTTTGGTTACATTTCTCTGAAAAGCAGAAAAACATGATTAAAAATTGATAAATTTTAAAAGCAAACACTTGCAGCTTATGTTGTATAGGTATTTGTGTTTACGGCACTTCTCTAGTGTCTTCTATTCATTTATGTCAAAATTATTTACCTCGCTTATCTAGTTTTTAAATAATAATTTATTACAAAATTTCCTTAACGTAAATCAATCACCAATAGACAATTTCAAAACTAAGACATTCTTTCGTTTAGTCTAGTATTCCCAAAATTATTTTTTTACTTGCCAATTCTAAATAGGTTTCAATAAATAGAGTGAGTTTAGTGATTTTTGGCCAAACTATTCCTCGCTTCGGTCTAATTATTGCACAGTGTTCTTTTAAAGAACGCAATCCATGTTAAGTAATGTTTTCAACTCGCTCGCTCTCAGAGTGAAAATCTTAAAGTTTAATAAAAATAACTGGAAAGGTGAATAACAAAGTGGTAAATAAACTACCAATTTAAATTTCAAAATTCTTAATTCAGCCGAGTCAGAACTCTTCACCCTAAATAGGCAGTCTTAATTTCTGTAATGCCAGAGTAGTACAGTTTTAAATTATTTTCAGCATGTTACACGCCCCTTGCTGGAGGCAACCAAAAACTACCAGTCTGCCATTTTCATATAGATTTAACCATCCGATATCGTCTCTCAAACTTTATAGGCATCTGGGTGTTCGTTCGTAGCTTACAGAAAAATACCATCGCTTGAAGCCGTCGCGTACCCATTGTTCCTATGATGGTATGGTAGTTGTTCGTTAAGTGTTTGAACTATCATAGCCTGGAAGCTTGTGGGCTGGGGTGGCGGTTTCGGCATTCTTATTATGGCCAACCGAATGCTGCGTTGATAACTACCTCCTAAGTCTTGTTACTGACTGCAATGGCCGGTCTTCGAATGCGATTGATCAATATAATTTTAACTTTATTGTTATTTTTTCAAGAGGTGAAATTTGATGCAATCAATTGCTTTGCGACTAACGCTTTCCAAAAGTTGTGTAAGTTCAAGAACGGGAAACACAAACAAAAGAGAATAGAAGAAATTGGCAGAGCGAATGGAAAATATTAAATTATTAACACGAATAACGTAGCTCCAGCCGTAAATAAATACAAAAAACATAATTTTAAAAGGAGCGGTGAGATGATTCAAAAGAAATGTGGAAGGCGGGTGCAAGATTAGCGAGCTAAATTACCAGGTATGTGAGAGTAAAATAGTCATAAGTACCAAGTCGCAACAGATCAATGCAAAAAAAATAAATCAAGATTTAATTCTGGTACGCATCGATTCGGAGAGAAAGTATTTACGTATATTAAAAAATAACGTATGTTTCTAAGAAGTATAATTTGATGGTATCGCCGAATTAAAATGGGTTTGGAAGACATTTAAAATAACTATGATTATGTAGAGCTTTAACTGCCCTGCATTGTTTATATATGTATTTATTATAATAAATTAACATGAAATATAGAATCACACGGAAACGAATACGCTTCCGTTTTCAAAATGTAAAAAAATTATTGGCGCTTTTTGAAATAAAAAATATCCCAAAACGTAAATCTGACAAATCTTGGAAGAAAATAACCATAAAATAAAAAAAACTAAATGTTTTTATATAAGTACGAAAAGTTTCATTTCCTCCATATTGATTTATTTAGATTCACTTAAAATTGTTCGGCAGTCATTTTATAATAGTAAAAACCATACGACTACATCACAATTTCATACTCTGCTATACATGAAAGTGAAAACTGTTCATCTGTTTCTCTGACGTTTTAAAAGTAGTTTACTTTCTGCTGTAATATGTTAATAAATTCAAAGAAATGAGTCCTTGGAAGATTCTTGCTTCCACTCTCGAAATGGTATTAATCTCATGCATTTGGCACCTCATTGGCCTAAAAACCACTCTAATTTTCCTCTGAAAGTTCAAGAGCATCTTGTTAGAGCAATTTTGGTTAACTGAAGAGCTTTTAATTAATCTCTGGGTCAATTATTTTGATCTTAAATATTTATAAGTTTATTATTACGGTACAATAAAAGAACAGTGAAGTTAAACGCTACCTTATCATCTCTTAACAATTTTATTAGTGCGTTTATAATTACCTGTAGTGACTTGCCAAAATTTACACGAACAGCTATTCTAAATGAGTTTTCGAACTGGCAGTGGTTTGTATTGCTGCTGATTTGATGATGGTACCGATTTTGGGTGTAGCGACCTCCTACTGTAATATTTTTGTTTAGTTCATGGTAGCGCTGCTATTCAAATCGTCGACTTATGTTCGGTATTATGTAAATAGCTGAAAATAGGCGAGTAAGTGCTAATCACTTCATTTTTTTATATCACTATCAGGAATGGGACCATAAAAGAAAGTTGATTAAA